GAAAAAATACCAGCATGAATCAGACCCAGAGCAATCACAAACCACAACAATGAAATATACCTTGTTCAATTGCTCCAACCCAAAAGTTCCTTTCCATCCCTAAGTCAACACCAATCAAAAAAAATTTATGGAAACCGATGTGTGACTATAATAATATTATTAGTTAACCATGGAGTTTGTTTAAATGGAGTGACTAAATTTTTGCCATTAAGTATCACACAGCAGCCTTCTTTGCAGAGATTGGTTGGGCTCATCATTAAACAGCGATAAGTCCAACACACCTGAAAAATGTCGGTATGAAAAGTTGAAATAAAACTATATTGTTACAGTACAGAAATACAAAACCTGAAAAGTAGGAGTAATAATTTGAAGGCAAATGTGGAAAGTTCTATATTTTGAACATAGTTTTACGTGATTAAACTAAACATGTTTTGGTTGTGTTGATGGGACTTACAAATAATTATAGAACTGCCCTCAAATATATCTGATGGTAACTTACTGGGTGTCGGTGAGTAACCATGTTGTAATCTGGCTGATGGAATCTATCGCAGTGAACTGTGTCTTGGCTATTACATTGGTCCTTTGATCTACAGCTGAAATAACGCTAGTGAGCAAAACAATAAGGAAGTTAGGACCATTTTAAACTTGCAACATATTTGATTTGTTCTGCCCTAAACATCAGCTCTTGAGCCCCTCTTTAGTAGCCAATTAATTTACTTTATCAACTCAGTTGATGAAATTCACAACTGTAATTCTTGAAGTTTTACTTTCCCATGATCCAGTACCAGATGTCTGTCTGCTCCCATTCCCTGCATAACATGTCTAAACAATTGAAAGCCACTTTGCATAACACAGGACTGTGCTCTAGCAGTGCCCGGTGGCCCCTCGCACCCAACTGTTGCCCCTGGGCGACTAGAAAATCTCAGATTTTTCATACAAATCATATGCTGGGCACCCTAAATTTTACAGGTTCAGAGCACTGGGCACCATTAACTTTCCTTAGAGCACAGCCTTGTAACAACACAGAAACTTTACTTTATAAATCATTACCTTACACTGTCTACTTGTAACATTCATGTACTGCAACACAGTGTCAAACGCATCTTCTATTGTAGTGTGTACTTGACGTTCCTAAATAAGGATGAAAAACAAGACTGTTTGTAAGCCGCATTTACAATAACCTAAAGGAATTTGTTTGTTTGTTTTCAATCATAAATTTACTGAACACATAAACATAAACTACTGCAGATATGCATACTCAAACATAAGCTGCGCCCTGAGTTTAAAAGCTCACAAATATTTGCAAAAAATATTTCCTGACAGAAAAATCATAGCCAAGTCAGGAAAAAAGTTAATTTGGTTTTTGATCACTTTTACTGATGTGGTCAGCAGTTAAACATATTTCTTGAGACAAAAGAAATTTTTTACACAAGAAAGTTTTATCCCCACAGGATGTTGTTGGTACATCAACATGGTCTCTGTTTCATAGTTTTAGTGCATTATTATTTTTTTTTTTGGTGATGTCATTTGAAATAAATCTATTAAAGTAAAACTTTACATCATTTTTAGTTTGGTAGTTGTAGTCAATAATGTCATCATCATGAAAATGGCCAATTGGGAAAACAAAACATATAAGCAAAAAGGTCTACTAGTATTCATTAACATTATATTGTTCTATCTGGTTCGTTTCTGGATCTACCTGTGAGGAATGGAGCATAGTGCTTGTTTGACTTGGCCATTCAACCTTCCTCAACAAAGCCTTATTAAGAGTAGACACTCCCTGTCTTCCTGAACGGCATAATGTGCAGTGCAGCCAACTGTCTTCACCCTACAAATAAACACAGACAATGATAGTTACCAATGCCAACTGCCATGTGCATCTCTAAAAAACTACCACTCCCATTATGGTAATACAGGTGTACTATTAGGCTGAAATATCCAACAATGACTGTCAGCTGACAATACCTGTTCATTCAAAACAAAGTTGTACACCTAACATCAATGATGGTCCATAGGTGTTTTTTGTACTTCATATTGGAGAACATTAAACCACAAATCTAAAATGTTGCTAACATTTTACTGCTGGCAAACAAAGAGGCAAAATTTGCAAGATGTGTACAGTCAAACTCCTACTGTATTTATAACCACCTCCAATAATGACCATCTGTCTAAAAATACACCAAAAGCTGTTCAGTCAAAGCCTTATTAATATAGTTGGAACCTCTTGTAAAGGACATCCTCTGGTAAGCGACCACGGTCACTTTTTAGAGTGATGGTTTTATAACTTCCCAACATTTTCAAGCTTTTGTAAGTGACCTCTTGACTAATGTTCTACTCTCTATGTTCACTGTATACGCTACGCAACTCAAAGAATGAAGAACTTTTAGTGACAAATGGAACTACACATTATATAGCAATAAAGCATATTTTATTCAACACGTTCGATGACTCCCTTCCAATGCAAATGCCAAATTCAACTCAAAGCAAACTTCATCTGTTAGTTGCAAGAACATTGTAATGAAACCTTATTTAGATGAATTTTTACGTAAGCTTTTTGAACAATGTCGCATTGAAAATTGTGGCAAACAATATTAAATATGTGTGGCAACTGACAGGTTTTTCATCCTTCAATACTTATTATTTTTATTGTAATTTGTTTTGTTACTTACTGACTTTTTTTTATTTTTTTAATTCTTTTACTTTGTGCTGTGTATTATTGCTGTTAATTTGTTGTCAATAAAAAAAATCATTTTCAAGCTCTTGTAAGTCACCTCTGGACTCATGTTCTGCTCTCTATGTTCACCATATAGGCTACGCGACTCAAAGAATGAAGAACTTTTAGAGACCAATGGAACTACACATTACATAGTAATACAGAAATTACACACAATACATTCTCTTCCAGAAAGTCTAGTAGAGTTATCACGATCTCCACTCAGAAGAGACCTCCAATGGTTCAATTCTCATACATACGTGTACACGTACAACCAAGCTATTTTCCAAAATAATTTATGGGAAAAAAAGGAGGAAAGATTTATAGGATTCTGGGACAAAATAGAGAAATTTTATAGGAATTTCAGATCCACACAGATGAAATGTTAGTTGAAAAATAATTATTTCATGAGTCTTACATCATTGCTGAGATTTTTTTTACATGTTTGACACTTGCTTGCAATGTGCTCAAGACAATTTACAGCAGTTGTCAACAGTCACATGATCACTTCTTGCAACCTCCAAAAACACTAAACCACTTACGAGAAGTTAACATCACAAGATGCATATCCAAGAGCTGACATAGTTTGAAAGAACTGTCCAGCACAAACAAGGTTTTGAACAACAACAGTATTAAGACTGCTTCAACCGTTGTTAACTGAATAAAGGTGGGTTTCCAACTTGAAGAGTACCTAAAAAACTAAAGGATCCTTACGAAAACCAGTTGGATAGACACAATCATGTAAAATCCACTTCTGTGGTGAACTTCAAGTCCGACATAAAAGTACAGAAGTATCCACTAAATTTCTGAGTCACAGTTTCAAGTCTTTCACAGCATAATTCATGATTTCTTGGATTTCGGATTGCTGAACTGTGATAGGAAAGTGTTTATTGAGTTTTTCCTTCGTTTTGAAATGAATCTAATTTTTACATAAACAGTAATTGTAGGAAATATAGGAGATTTTGGCCTATTATAGGAGTTTTGTAGGATCCTATAAAACAAATAGAAAAAATAGGATTTATAGGAAGGCTGGGATGTATGCAGTCGCAAAGACCACCTCCTGTAAGCGACCATTATTTTAATCTTCACATTTTGGGTGGTCGAGGTTTGAATTTACATGTATATAACTTAAGTTACCAGCTTGCAATTAATTTGCAAGTAGTCATACAACTGTACGTTGCTGTTGCAAATGGTGTCTTTGCAAGTCAGCAAGAATTCTATTAAAGTTTGTAGTTGGTTGTAGTGTGATCATGATGGTCAGATGTCAACAAAATTGCAGTCAGTCGAACTAATAAGAACAGCTGGCGATAAGACGCGATTTGCTAGATTGCCACGGTCTTAATAATAATGCCAGGTATGATAGGGTGCCATCTCTCAATTGTAATCATACAGCTGGTAAACAAATTTAAACTCCGCTCAATTCTATATCGGAGATGATAAAGATATTACTAAATTCACTAACCTTTAGGGGCATGATATCTATCCTAATCTGCTTTTTGGGGGCAGAGTTCTTCGGTTGAACCGTTGTTGTTAGTGTCCGCGTTGCCCTTTGTACGCGCCAACGACGCGGGAACTAAGCCCTTCCTTGTAGTGAGGGGGTAAGAACTAGAAAAACGAAACGACTTTAAAACCTAAGAATTACCACTAATATTCACGTATCCTTTACCTTATTAATAACTTTTGTAAGTTAATGTACGTTGAACTTTTTTAGACAAATATCGTGCTCTTTTGCTAATCTTTGTTACTATAAATGCCATGGAGCTGGCCTCCTCCCCACTAAGCAAATTTTTCTCACTTGGTGAATGTCAGCGGTTTTTCGCTCCTGCCCTAGAGACTGCATGGCAACAAAACAAGTCCGGCACGCGCAAACTACAGACATCGAAATGTAATTGACTTTATCAAACGTTCGATTAGAAAATGGTAAGCCCTTCTTATGGACAGCAAGTTGCCCCTCTTCGAGGAAGGCCCACGATCTTTGGAAATGTGTACGAGAAGAATGTCGTTTTTCTGCTCGATACTTCGGGCTCTATGTACCACAGTCTCGACGTTGTTAGAGAACACTTGCTCGAAATACTGTTCGCGCGCGCGATTTCCGGAAGAGACACCATGTTCAACATTATCGAATTCAACGAAGAAGTTAACAAATGGGCTGACAGGTTAGTAGCTTGTACACCTCGCACCGTCAGTGTTGCCAGCGAATGGATTCACAAATTGACCTGTGGAACGTCTACAAACACAATGGAAGCTTTGATCGAGGCGTACGAAGATGACGGAATGGACGCGATTTATTTGGTCACCGATGGCTTGCCCGATCAAACTCCCGCAGTCATCATAGAAAATGTCCGTCGCCTTCACAAAGGACGACCTATACACGCGATTTATCTCACTGGAACACACTCTGATCCAGCGGCTAAGGAATTCCTGGAAGAACTGGCCAAAATCACCAAGGGTTCTTTCCACACTATAAGCCTTACGCTGTACGGACGGATTCAAAGAGTAACGCCAGTATTTAATCACAAGACAGAATTCATGCGGCATTATGACGGCGAATTCTTATCGCCGAACCTCTCGAACTTGTTTAAGGCAACTGACACTTCTCTGGAACGACTAGAACGTCCGACCTCTGCGCCTCCAGCCTCGGGATTTGTCCCGAGGGTTTATGGTCCCGTCCCTAGAATATATGATCCCGGGACACCTGTCACCCTCCTCAGGGCACCCCATGGAGCTGTCCCTATTCCTTATGTCTCATGGAGCAAGTTTCATCAAGAGCGGGGAACATCAAAAGTTTTGCAATATGCTGATGCAGTATTGGCATCTCGAGGGCTTTCTAAAGACAGTGAAAAATCTGTGGGAAGTACCAGTGTCCCAGTTGCAGCAAGTATAATGAAAGGGATGAAGGTGTTGGCACGGAAAGATTCTGATGGTCTATTTTACATGGCAACTGTCAAAACACAGGTACAGTATGCGGGCAATAAAATCAATAATTATTGATTTTGTTTTTTTGAAGTCTATTTATTATTAACTAGAGATAGGTGTCTCATGAATCTCTATAAAGAGAATAGGGCCACCAAAGTTAAGCCCTGCTTTGTGGGGTTAGGCACTAGATTGCTGACCAGCCACAAATATTCTGTCTCTTTGTTCTGGTAAGGGTATCTACAGTATCTAGGAAATTATTGACACTACTACGTGGTTAGATTACTTGAGGTGCTTTTACCACTTGTCCTGTGGCGTAACTTTCATCAATGTTTTCAGTTGTAATCCTCTTTCATTATTTTGCTTTACACAGGGAGAAAATGGTACATTCGTAGTGGAATTTGATCAGTGTCCTGCTCTACGCAAGCCACACCTGCAAGAAGTAGCACTATTTGATATGGTTGCTTACAAAGATGCCATAAGACACCATGTGTGCATCGGAGACAAAGTCCTTACCCCATGGCAAAATGATGGACGTTATGGACCTGGGACTGTCCTTGATGGAGTGGACCATAGGGATGTCCAGCCACAGGGTAAGCTATGCATGAATCAAGCAAATGGCCAAGTTTAAGGATACATTTTCATGAACACGGGGCTGTCCCTTACAGTGTAGGGCCCAGAGCCTGGGATTTTCCCAGGCCACTACCATTGACTATGACCCATTGCATTATTCCTTTGGAAGCAAAAGGAACTTCCTACATATGTAACTGTTCAATTCCCCACCTATTAAATGCATATACCTGCGGCACCAACTTCAAATTATAGTGACAGTCCTGGTACAGTTGCTAAGGTTAGTGGTTAGAACTTGACCAGTATTGTGGGAGGTTTTGAATCCCACTTATTTTGGGTCTTAGAGACATGAGCTGCTCAAAAGTATGTTACCAGGGATATCTTGTTTTCTGTGCTATCAGTATGAGATTCATGTTGTTACTGTAAGGCTGTAAGGCTGGCCAATTAGAACACGTAAAGTTCTACACTTCTTACTAAACTGTGGTACATGCTAATTGAAGCTCCTGTTTTGCAGTTAAGTTCTTAAGGGGGCCAATCTCAACACTGTCTAACTGATTTTAGGTTATGAAGGGGGTGACCTTCTTGTAGCCTTTTATAATGGCCAAACAGAGCAGCTGTCCCCAGGAGTAGCA